TCTGTTCAAACTCAACTCGAGCACGCACACATACAATGTACAATGTATGCGCGGAGAGAGGGCCGGTGTTCTGCCAAACCCAACCGAACCGGGAACACCAACACTCAAATTCACTGCTGCTGCCTGCTACGCCCTATAAGCCCTATCACGTAACGCAAAGCTGAAGCAGCTGAAGCAAACATGCCACACAACCAACTATGAGATCGGGCGAGCGTTTGTCACACACACACACACCCACAAAAACACACACACACACACACACACACACACACACACACACACACACACACACACACACACACACACACACACACACACACACACACACACACACACGTCTCTAGTTTCTCTGTAAGTGGAAGGCCCGCCACCCTCCGTCCCCGAACTGCCGTGACACGCTGCACACACTCCCTAGGCATCAAGCACGGATTCTTTTGTCCGGGATGCGCACAACATGTCTCGATCTTCCTTGACCTAGCAAGGAACGAGAAACTTCCAGGTGGCGAACGGGGATGGCGGCGGGATAATCTCAAGCACGGGAGGCTGCCTATCTATAGTAGCTTCCCCTTCAGCCCGCACTTCGGCCGGCTAGAGGGAGGACAGCTCTTGGACAAGACAAGCTGCAATTCACAGCACTAAACGACAAAACATGAGACGCTTCAAGCGCATCGCTTCGCTACGCGCAACCCAGCAAGACATGTTGAGGAAATGGGGAAACAAGCCCAAACCCTGCGGATCCCTGCGGCACATGGGTGGCACGACTTCACCCGCGGGGTCGACTTAAACCTACCACTAGCGCGGGGGTTTGCTCCATAAAGAAAGCTTGTTTTGCCAGCGCTCTCTCTGACACTCCTGCTTCCGACGGAGCATGGTCCACCCCAGATTCCAATCTAGACATCGTCGGCACACACCTCCAGCTCAAACTCGCTCAGGTCTAGAAGCGCACGTCACCGTCCTCCAGGGCTCACGCGTAGCAGTTTCGCTCGTCTCTCAAGGTATGTCAAATTTGCTTTCACAGCAGGCCTACCCACAGCCACAGCCACCCTTCAACGCGACGATGGGGTTTCTTGTTTGTTCTTGTTTTGCGCTTTGCTAAACACCATCGAGAGACACGCGGCCATCTGGGCACACGGCCTTGCGGTGCATTTGCACAACCAATACGCCCTCAAATCACGCCAACGCAGCACGCACAACGGCCTTTTTGCTGGGACTGTACTGCTCATGCGGGAGCATAGCACCAAAACCACACAGAGAGCAAGCACACTCGTTAAACTGTTAAACGCATGCGATAGAAGGTTTCTGTCACAGTTCGGGGCCCACACTGGGCAGCGAGCGGGCGGGCAACCTTCAAACGCACTGGCGCTGGACAACAAGACATGTGGAGAGCGAGTTGGGGGTTTGGTGAGGGATCCTACCGAATCCGGACCCTGAACACAACAGACACCCTTAGCCCAGCACAAGACCACTGCACGCAACGCTCTCCCTTTTTTATTGCAATACCCGCGTGTAGAACACCTGCAAGCCAAGGCCATGCAACTAGCGCAGCTAGCCATGCACAGACTGGAACCCTCGCACGCGTCGGACTTTCTTTTCCAGCCACGAGGCCGATAGAGTCGGGCAGATCCGAAAGGAACATGCTTTGCATGTGAAGCTGCAATGACACTCAGTGCTGGGGACAAACACACAACGACTCTATCGGCCTCGTGGCTGGAAAAAAAAAAAGGGCAGATCCGAAAGGAACATGCTTTGCATGTGAAGCTGCAATGACACTCAGTGCTGGGGACAAACACACAAACCCCCTGGCACACAAAAATTAACCCACAACCCTCTTTGCGGCGGGAGGGCGGGCAAAATTCTGAGACAAACAAGCAGAGGTGGCCCTCAACTGTTGGCTGACCAACTGGAAAGCTTGAGGGTCAACTCTTGAACGTGCAGCACAACATGTGCAAAAAGCGTGTTCGCAATGGTATGCGGAGCTGCAGAACACGACAAGCAGAGTCATCAAACGAAAACAAGTCAACACTGCAGGTGACTCAAACGCACACCTAGACACACAGCCAGGTATGTGGTTTGCTTTCAACACGGGCCATGCGCAATAAGGCCTCGTCAACAAGTGGAGATTTGCTGAAAGGTGGTGGTAGAAACAGCCAGAATCTACACTGACCGCATGGCTAAAAGCCCTGCTTAGCCAACATGTAACATCAGCTTAAGAGCTGACAAAATGATGCATCAGCCGCACGCTGACAGATGTAACATCAGCTTACGAGCTGACAAACGATGCATCAGCCGCACGCTGACAGAAATATCAAGGGGGTTTGTAAAAATGACTTTGAACTTTTTTCGACTTTGGGTTTCTGGTTGGGGGAGGGGGGAGGGGTTGAAAAGTTCTGCATCTAGAGGTTGTGCTCGTGGAGCCTGGGGTCTAGAAGGTTATGAGGCTATGGGTTTAGGGGTTTGGAGATGCTTTTTGATGATGGTGATGATGTAGGGCGGGTAGAAGGGCTTCAAAGAAGGGGGGTGCTTGAGGGGCTTCAGGGCGTCGAGTTTGGGACCGGGCTGCCGGGAAAAGGGAGTAGGGAATTGCAGCGGCTGCCGGCTGCCACGCATTGAACCCTTTCCTTTGCAGGCCCGGTCTGCAGAATCTCCCGGCTAGAACCTTTCCCCTGAATAATTCGAAAGGCATACCCCATCCGCCTTGCCACCCTCTAGCAGCCTCAACCCGGTGCGGGACTCAAACGTCTTTACAATTGCGGGGCCTGTTGCTTCCAGGGGGGGGGGGGGGAGGTCACGGCCTCAGGTCTGGTCCGCCCCTTATACGGTGCATGCTGTTGCATCAAACAAATTTGAGAACACATCCCATTGGAGCTGGCAGTCTTTGTGCGGATTTGAATCCTTCCCGTGGGACTTGGAGACGGGCATGGCCGGATTTGAATCCGAGCATGGGCCTTGGAAGGAAGAAAAAGGAAGGACAAGTGAAGAGACTGACTTCCATGTGCAAGGCCAGTGTTTGGAAACCACCGGGCTTGCACGCTCGGATTTGAATCCGGCTGTACAAACACTCGGCCCCACCGGGTGAAGGATCCTCCCCGGGAGGGGCCTTATCCGGCGGGGCCCAGTGTTTGTACAGCCGGATTCAAATCCGAGCGTACAAGCCCGGTGGTTTCCAAACACTGGCCTTGCACATGGAAGTCAGTCTCTTCACTTGTCCTTCCTTTTTCTTCCTTCCAAGTTTCACGCTCGGATTCAAATCCGACCATGCCCGTTTCCAAAGCCATGGCCGTTTCCAAGTCCCACGGGAAGGGGGAAGGATTCAAATCCGGCCATGCGTTTGTAGAGCCGGATTATAATCCGAGCGTACAAGCCCGGTGGTTTCCAAACACTGGCCTTGCACATGGAAGTCAGTCTCTTCACTTGTCCTGCCTTTTTCTTCCTTCCAAGGCTCGGATTCAAATCCGGCCATGCCCGTTTCCAAAGCCATGACCGTTTCCAAGTCCCACGGGAAGGGGGAAGGATTCAAATCCGCCATGCCTGTGTCCAAGATTCAAACCCGGGCTTTCCCGTTTCCAAGTCCGACGGGAAGATTTTAATCCGAACATTCCCATGCCGTATTCTTGCAAAGATGTCCTTCCCGACTGAATTAAGAAAGGGTTGAACTGCATACAGCAGCACCCACTCCTACGGAAACCTCCATACAGGCGCCCCTGCAGAACCATGAATGACCATCAATGGTTTTGCCTTTGCTATTTCTCCCCAACCAGAAAGCCAAAGTCGAAAAAAGTTCAAAGTCATTTTTACAAACCCCCTTGATAATGTATCCCCCCATCAGCCTGTCGCTGACAAACGGTGGCCCCTGCCCAGATTTTCGATCGGGCAAGGGCGGGCGGGAGATCGAAAATCAGGGCGGCTCCCACACTCTGCTCCCGGTCTACACACCGGCCAAACAAAGATCACTGTGCTTCAGCCACACAGCTTCAAGCATAAACATGCCTCATTGTCCGGCCACTTCGCACTGCCACGCGACAATCACCGCCAACGCAGCAAAGACGAGCCCCTCGTGCGCAACACGTGACCTCCCACGTCAAAGCAAGAGAGAGAGAGAGAGAGAGAGAGAGAGAGAGAGAGAGAGAGAGAGAGAGAGAGAGAGAGAGAGAGAGAGAGAGAGAGAGAGAGAGAACCTACCCAAACAAGGGACTCTATCCGATCCCTCTTTTCGCCCCTCCGGTTCCCTCCGGTTCGACCCGCCGCAAATTCACCGCTGCCCCAGGATTGTGGAAGCGCGTGGGGCGGTGACGGGCTTATCCGTCTGACACTGCAGCGCTGCGATGGCAACATAAGACATGCAACGGGCCTCGCCCCGTGAAACGCGCACAGCGCATCCCCTCGCTCAGTGACTCACCGGCCAAACCCTGTCCTCGTCCACAGGTCCGGAGATGATTGCGTTGTCCTTGAAGGGAATGGCAATTTCTTGCGACTTGACATCAGCACCTTGGCGGACAAAAACAAGGGGGGCTCAAGGTAAGCTGCAAGCAAGCAATACAGATAGTACCGGAGTTTGCGATCACAGTTCCATCCAAAGCCACAGGGCCATCAAGCAACGGGACCGGCCTGCAAGCACAAAGCACGCCACACGGTGGGAAGCAGTTGCTCGCCGAGCGCCCTTCCGACCCAATGCCTTGTTTCAACCTTCGCAACTGTTGTCTTCCGGCCGGCGCTGCAGCCCCAGGAGACCTGACAAAACTTATCAAAAATACAAGGCATTCAACCATTGCCCCACCCTCCGTGTTCTTTGACTGCACTACGGCTCCTGAGATGCGACTGCGTCAGATCTGCAAAAACTGCTACACTTTGAGCTGTATCAAAGGTCCTGAGCGGCTTCACTTGCCAAACAGCACAGGCAGCCAAGGCGCATCGCATTGCTGCGCAAAGACAAGTTTCTCCGCTGCCGACCAGGCTGTCGCATTGATCGCGAACTTCCAACCAAGCACGATGCTGACCAACACTGCGGCTAGTGTAATGAAGGGTCTGCGCCTCGCAGCCCGGCTTTGCAGGGAAATCAACTTGCGCTAAACACACGCCATCGAGAGACACCCAGCCATCCGGGCACACAGCTGAATAGTCCTCTTGGCACTCCACCTGAGCGCAAGGCCAGGACAACCTGCCGGAACAAAGGCAAAACCCCGTCACGATCACGAGCCCCCAGAGCACAGCAACGCAAGCTGCACCCACATCGCTTCATCAGTAGCTGCTTCTCGCCAACGCTCATGAGACGGAAGTCATAAGCAGCAGCACACGCGGGGGAGCCACTCCAATTCACAGAATCGATCTCAAGCTCACAGACGCCTGTGGCATTCTTGACGTGCCAACCTGCAAAAGCTTTCATTCTGAACAACTGGCAACGCCAGGTGATTTTGCTAGATTTAATCAACGACATCCTGAGGGCCTGAGGGGCAGGAATGGAAATCATGCGCACACACGCCCACACATGGCCAAGCCTTGCAAGTTGGAAACCACAGCAAGGCCACGCAAAGAATAGATGTTAACAGCACATCTTGGCTTTCTCAGGCAAGAGCCACGTCACATTGCTTCTCCAGCTTGCTCTTGTCCATCAAATTAAGTCCACTTGGTTGAATCCTGCAGCAATTCGAGTTCAAGGGTTTCCAAGCTGCCCGCAGACGACGTAAGCTCACGCCCAGCATTGTTTCCATTGCATTTGGGCCAGTCACAAACAAGGGGTCGCAGGGATTTCAATGGAAAATCCTTCTTGCTTCCTCGCGCAGAGAAATTCCGCCCTGCCCACCAACGTGCCGGTTTGCTGCAGGTCTCGATCCTGATTAAAGGCCTAGCCATGGCTTGACTCAACACCAAGGCAACGAAGCATGTGCGTGAAGTAACAGCGCAATCCCGAGAGCTTGCGAGGCTCTCGACTCGACCGCCTTCGAGCGGCTCACACAAGAAGAGAACCCTCCTCAAAGAAGGCCAGGGTCGTTTCGAACATCTCCGCCCCCTCCAGGCCCCCCCCCACTCCCACATTTTGCTGGGTCACTGCAGGAGATAGCAAAATGATCGCAGAAGGCTCGCCCTGCAACTCAACCATAGCCACACGCTTGCGCACAAAGAACACTCATTTTCGACGGTTGTAGCACGGAGGGGGAAAATCGCAAATGGGCAGAAGTCCTCTCAATCTGCGCGCAGCACAGCCTACTCAAACCCTGCAAACGACTTCCTTCGCGGGCGAGAATTTCAAGAACTTGGAACTGGCAGAAGCTTGTAGCTAGACACAGGCCGACCCGCGGCCACTGAATCTTCACACTGCTGCTGCAACAGCAACTGTCAAGCAAGCACATTTATTGAACTGTCAAACATGCAGCGCGCGATGGAAATGACATTTTGCACGAGACTCCGGAACGCAGTACCTTGCACGCGCACTAACCTCAGTATCCTACCCTGAGACCCTTTTGCATAGACACCGAGTCGCACATCCTCGCACCAACAGCAGCAAAGACACGCGAGGACTCTAACGGATCCCTCCGCGTGATCCCACCGTGCAGCAAGGAAAACGAGGCCCACAAAACCTGCCAAGCCCCCAAGACAAAACACGACAAACCCACGAGGCACCCTTGCAGAGGACTCCCGATCAAGAACTCTGAAACAAAAATGACATAAGCTCCGATGCTGATAAATCGACACAGCTGCTGCTGAAAACCACTGCCCCCCTGCAGACACACAGGGCGGGAGGGTGGGAAAACAAGAACGCCGTCCGAAAGCACTGCAGTCACTCGAGCACGACCACTGGACCCTACACAGTGACACACTCGGACAACTGTCGCAAGCACACATGCCAAGCCACATGGAACTGCAACCATGCAAAAGCCTACCGTGCACCAGCAAAAGCCTACCCTGCACACAACGCACTCCCGGATCTCACTTCGTGCTGGGCTTGCCTGCGGTTTGACACGCACCCTGATGCACCCTGAAGGACTGAAGTCTGCTGCGACTGCAGCGACATGCGCCAAGGCTACCACCCAAGCTCAGCCGGCACACCCGACACTGCCCAGCAGCAACATGGCGAGCAGTCCTTGCGCATGGTCCTGACACCAAAAGAACAGCAACATAATAAGGAGGCAAAGCTATCTCAATAGTGAGCAGCCTCGGTAGGATGCTGGAGCCTACACCATGACAGAAACACATTTTCCTTGCTACGCAGCGCAACACTCAGAGGTATAGGCAGCGCACGTGGCAAGCTCCACTCGGTCGCAGTGTCCTCTGCACACACAATTGATGTTGCAAGACACTTGCGCAAGGGAAGGAAGTACTTCGACATGAACACACCATGTCTCTGGGCACACATAAGTGTAATTCGGCTGGCACGCTGCACTTCCATCATCTGACAACAGCAACGCCACAGTTGACATCACTCTAAGCAGGACCAGGGCAGTAAGAAGAATAACACGGAAACCTGAATCAAGCTGTACTTCTCGCGCGGCACGTTCATTCGCTCTAGCCACAACCTGGCATCGCAAACGAAGCATTTCGCACAATAGCCATTCAGACCAGACGAGCCTCGGCAACCTGGTCGTTGACGAGAGCCTCTGGCTGCAGCCGCTTACGCATGGCTTCTTGCTGCGCGTCCTGACAAGTGGCGCTCTTGACTAGCATCTCTCTTCAGCGTGCTCCGCACCTTTTCGGCGAACGGGCCCTTTTCAGCAGACTCGAAAAGGAGACGCCCCAACTGAAGAAGATCAAGGACGATGGATCAGCAGCGCTTGGCGAGAACAAACGGCACGTTAAGAGCAATAGCCTTTTCACCAAGTCGGCCCCGTGGCTGCACGCCAACCGTGCGGCCAACGCACAAGAGAAAAAGAGATCGCGCAAGCATCATCGGGCGAGCGGCGGGCGCACACCGCGCTTAACGACATAAAACACACGACGCTGACACGGCGAGTTTCTTAAACCACGGCAGGGCGAAGAACACCGAAGCCGAAACCTGAATCACTGCACACTTCTCGTGAGGCGTGTTCATTGCCCCCAGGAATTGGCACTCTTGCGCACGCGCACTGCGCTAGACCACAACGTTGGCTGCCCAGACAGAAAGATACTCAACTACAAATCATTAATCATTAATCCATCCACGCGCTTGCCAGGTGAGTCACATCAGAAAGCTCACGGGACAAACCTTTGTCAAGCCTGTGAGAAGACGGAAGGCCACGCAGCTTCGCTGGCAATGAGCGTGGCTGCAGTTTGGGCGGCTCTGCAATCACGTTCACAATGGGATAAGGAGCCTCGCAGGTAGCCCGCATCCCATAAGCGGGCGTGTGCACTGTGAGCACTTGTCATAACTGTCAAGACACACCTTGTTAACATCCATGATGAGCTGAGCAAGAAAAAACTTTTGACTGACAATCGAGAAGCAAGCCGTCTCTAGAGTTGTATTCACACAAAAGTCCCACCCGCCAGCCCTCACGACTCCGTGACACCCTGCGCATCATTTTCCTGGGATGCGCAAATCGAGCAGTCAGCTGATTTCAGCCATCCTAGCATGGAACTACCAAATTCCCTGGAGGTGCATGGGGCGGCGGTGGGCAAGTCTAAAGTGCAACCTAGCAAGAACAGACCTCTACCCTTTGCAGACCCTTCGACCTGCAAAGGCTTCGACACTGTAAACTGTGTTCAAGGCAACAACGAGACGCTTACCGTGCTTCGCTTCGCTACGCACTAACCAGCGTCTCTAGAGTTGTATTCACACAAAAGTCCCACCCGCCAGCCCTCACGACTCCGTGACACCCTGCGCATCATTTTCCTGGGATGCGCAAATCGAGCAGTCAGCTGATTTCAGCCATCCTAGCATGGAACTACCAAATTCCCAACCGCAGGCGGTTCCATGCTAGACGCACAGCACTCGGGCTCCGCAACCGAGCAAGTGTGCGTCTCCCTTCCTTTCCGGCCCACCTCCTTGAAGCGGCAAGGAACCACGCCCCCCGACCCTGGGAAAGTTCCTTGCCCCCCCTGCCTCCTACCAGCAGCCGACGCGAAGACTCATCACCACTGACCTAAACGCAAAACTCGCACTCCAGGCAACCCTCCCACGACACGCTCTGCACTGCAGCAGTCTCGGCTGCATCCTTGTTGGGCATCCTACCATGCTGCCCATGCCGCGATGATCTGCCAGGCCGCTCACGCACAGCAGCAGCATCAGCGTCACCACGGCTCCGTCCAACGCAAACTTGTCTTGCGACGCTTCGGCCGCGGTAACGGATCCTTTGCTTTGGCTTCTTTGGACGTCTTCGCGAACTGTATGCTGTCATCCAGCTCCTGCGCTGCCTGCATGAGCTGTGTCAGGACCAGGAACGGAAGACTCTCAAAGCACACTGGTATTCGCAGATCTGGGTTGAACTCATCGAAGCACTCATTGGTCAGGGCGTCCGCTTCAGTGTTTTGGTCACGCGGCACCCAATTTAGTTGTAGGTGTAAATCCATGTGACCCAGCTGCGCCGACAATTCCATCAGTACCATAGATAAAGGAAAGGCGCACGACATGAATCTCTCCAGCACAAAGGAGTTTCCCAGGTTGTCAGTGATGGCTGGGAGCCACAACTGCCCCCGTCGGTGCCACCAGCGCTGGTCTTGCCCGAAGACTATGACGGCCACCACGACTGCCAAGAGCTCAAGAGACGCTATTACGCGGAATGGCTCTCCTTTCGCAAAGGGGCTGTCTTCCTGTCCAGCCGCACAGAAAACCAGCGGGCTTTCCGAGGGAGGCAGCCGCCCATAGACTCCCATCCCCCGATCACGACAGACGTCTTGTCGGCTTTCGCATCGACACGAAAGAAGTCCCCCTCTTCCACAGGTATGCGCTCGACCACTTGCATCGGGCACCTGCTGATCTCCTCCTGAATTAGCCTCAGAACCAAGAGGACCGCGAGGGGGAATTTCGCAAACTTCTCCGGTCTTAGCACAGAGTTCCATGCGAATAATGGCCCCAGAAAAGGCCTGACATGCTGTAAGGCTCCGCCCACAAACGATAAGCGCCCCAGCACGGCTTGAAAATCCCTGCCCATCACTCCCCCCGCAGCCACATGTTTGTGTAGCCATTCGGTGAACCATTTCACCTTCTTGCTGCTAATTCCTCGGCTGAACGTCGCGACACTCAGCTGATAGCCGATCCATTGCACTTCTGTGCCCCCACGCACTTTTCGCCAGCTGATCGGAATCTCGAACACCTCCAAGACGAAGAGCCAGAATAGCATGCGCCTCCAGAAGTGATCGCCCATCGATGTCAACCATCCATCATCGGAGTAGAGCAGATGATACACTGCCAAGTCGCAGTCTGCAAGCGCATGACACAGGCGCACGGCCCCACTGGCGACGCGCGCCCACCAGTAGCCGGCAGAAGCGATGCCAAAGGTACCCCTACGATGCACGAAGACTTCGTCCGGATCGTCCAAGGAGAAAGCCTGCAAGCCCCAGTCTTCTGGGCATACCGGCACGAGTCGGTGTGCCATCGCGATGTCGTACAGCAAGGCGAAGCGTGCGCACTGCCCTTTCTCGCACACGTCCTGCCTGATCTGACGTTGCAAAGCCCCGATGTCATCTATGATGGGGGAGCGCACCTGGTCCAAAACCTTGATCCTGGAGTTGATATCTGTGGAATACGAACCATCAAAGACAACTCTTACCAGGTCTGGTTTGTCAGACTGGACATCCTTGGGCACGGCTCCGAGCGCTGCGATTGCAAGGCGACCTGGGAATCGCGCCCGGGCTTCCTCTAAACTCATGCGTTCCACAAGCCCCTTCTGAACCTCTTCCTCGACTTGCCGCCGCACCACAGACATGTGTTCACGCGCTGAAGCATAATTGGCCGCAATCTGCTCGGGCTCCATGTCGGTGTCCACGAACTCGCGGTTCCACTTGGTTTTCTCCTCAAAGACCGCGGGGACTCTTGGCATGTCGCTGCCCACTCCAATACGCACTCCACGCTCCGCTATCTCTACAAGATACGCATAGTCCGGGTCGCGCAGCAGCTCCAGCCCCCCAGCCAAGCGCCGGAAATTGATTTCGGAGCACTGATCTGTCGGTCTTCGCCGCGCATCGATTCCAAATTCAAGTAACAACGCATCGGCCTCGCCCGCTGTTGCTGCTGCTGATCCATGGAATGGGGAGGACGTCATCTTTCCTCCCGCCATGCGCCAAAATGTCTCGGCCACAGCATCTTTGCCATCCTTTCTTGCGCCGCTTGTCTCCAGGACCCATCGTAGGAATCCTTTACGCAGGACTGCCTGGAACTTCGCCCACGCCTCGCTTTTCTGCCAACGCCTTGCACTCACCGGCCATCGACCAGGTGAGCACAAACCGCCCCCATCATTGATCGTTCTCCATTTGCCTTTATAGAGAGCCTTCATGGGAGCGCTTGTAGGACAGAACAAAGATGTGTCCGATATTCGCACTGGGCCCCCCGCTCCGGTCAGATGCTGTTCCTGCGCGCTCCGCACATTCTCCGGGCCCTGAGGTCCAGCCATCTGCCGTTGCGACTCGCCGCTGCTGCGATCGCCGTCCTTTGCCGACGCAAGGGCGCACGGCGCCGCCAGCGCGTTGCGGTCCACCCCCCCTTCCACCGGAACCGCGCGCTGGGCACCTCCGCCAGCCTCAGGGTCTGACGCTGACCCTAGTCACTCCTCGCGCTTGTCGTCTTGGCGGGCATCGGGCAGAGAAGACTTGCAGGCATGCATCGGGTGCTTGCCCAGGCACAATTGGCACACATGGGCGCGACCGCACTTGCCTCGACACTTCTCATGCGGATTGTTGAACGCAAAGCATATCTGCTGGCCATCCTCTGTGAGCCTCTTGAGTGCCGCAAACTTGCCCTTGCTTTGGCCTTTTCCAAAAGCTCGAGTCAGCCCCAGGTCGCGACGCACACGTCTGCTGCGAGAACGCTCTCTCCTGCTGTTGCCCACAGTAGCTAATTCAGCCAGGCGAAACGCCGACGGCGTGACAAAATACCGCTCCTTTAGCACTGGGTCCGCCATAGATGTCTCCAAGGCCGCCACCAGGGTTTGCCCGGCGTTTAGGAGCTTCGTCACATGCTTCCGCAACTGGTACTCATACGCAACCACCAAGTCGAAAGAGGGAGAGGAGACAATACCTCCTGTCGAGTCACGCGCATGCAGCCCGAGCACAAAGTCACCAAGCAAGTAGTCTGCATAATTATGGAAGTGAGACGGCGCGATCCCCTTCAGGACGGCCACGTGTGGATAGCGCAATGAGCTCAGCACAAAGGAGTGCGCAACCACCCGTAGTCGAACGCGCAACTCTTCCGCGTTCGTAGGCATGGGCACTTGGATGTGCCCTTTCTTGACCTTGATTGCACCTGTGCTCCGGTCAATGACAGCCGCCACAGGCTCCTGCGCCGCGTTCTCTTTGGAGGCAAATTCTGACAACGACATGTTCACAAACTCGCCATTGTCCACCATATCGAACACTTGTTCCAGAGTCGCGTTCGCAGGCATAAACTTCTCTGTCAAAGGATAGAAGGCGGTCTCGAATCGGTCGCGCAACTGCGCTAGCTCGGTCCTGGCCACCACCTTCGGAAGGCCGTCCACTACGATTGAAGGGATGCGTTGCTGTCGGTATGCGCGTCTGTTGCGGCTCACATGTGTTCTTTGTCTCGGTCAGTGTTCGTTCGGCCCAGACAATCATTGAGGATTCTTGTCGTCTTTCTTCTGCTGGATTGCAACAATGGCGACCGTGGAGCAGCAAAAGGCGCTGGCGCAGACCTTGGATCCAGACCTCGCGGGCTTGCTGCAGACAAAGGACGTGTCCCTCAAAGTTCAGGCGCTTGTCGCTCAGAAGAAGGTGAAGACTATCTCCAGATTGTCTGCTATGGCGGATGATCGAAAAGGCATTCGCGAGTTTTGCGTGAAGACTTTGGGTTTAGAGGCGTCGGTCGGCGACGATTTGGTGGAAATTGCGAGCGTGGTAGATGCTTGGGAGTCAGCGCGCTCTCGTGTGGATGCCCGGAACAAGGCAGAGGGAGAAGCCGATCCCAGCGCCGCTGAACTCGGCACACGCCCCCGCCACCCTGCTCAACACCTCCCTCCCTCCTTTGCATCCGCAGCAGGGTGGCCGGAGCCCCACCGCAGATCCCACCTCCTGTCACTTGCCTGGATAAAGTCACAATGTACATTGATGCATCATGCTCACTGCCCCTCAGATCAAGAAGACGCCGAGGCTGCAGAGGAGTCCGCCTCGTCTTCGCTATCCTCCGACAGCTGCCGTGTCCCCTGTGGAAAACAGTCTCTGCATGCATGATCGTAGTCGGACACCGTCGGCATCTCCGATCCACAGTCCACAAACTCGCGATAATGCACACCAGGAACCCGATGACACTCACCTCCTTTATGTAGAGTCCTTCGCTTGCAGTGCCCCACGACGCTCACAAAGTAGTGACCCAAATGGCTGCGATCATGCGGATCACGCGCTGACTCATCATGCGCCAACAGTGCCACAGAACTCGCGGAAGAACAAGACTCGCTGTCAGTGGCAGAGTCAACGCTTGCATCCCGCTCCTCATCGAAAGACTTCAACGTCGCTAAACATTGGTCCCTCTCCACCTCCGCCAGCCCCAGCTCCTCCAGGCGAGCTGACACATGCGACAGAACACTGTTTTCGTCCAGGAAGTCCGGGCCGCCCAAGCCGGCTTTGATCTTCCGTGCGATGCGTTCCTGGGCCTTCTCTACGTTGCCTCGAATAGAGCGGATGTAGGATTCGTCTGTAGACGGCATCCACCGCCCCATCTGCCTACTGGCAAGTTCGTCAACTCCACAGGAAGCCGCCCAAGTGCGCAGTGTTGCCCTTTCTGAATGTTCACTCCAAACGGTGCCAGCGCCCATCGGAAGAAGCTTCGTATTGGCGGCTTCTCCAATCTCGGCCACGAAAGAAGACGTCGCTTCCAGCACCTGGAACAAGGCCTGAGACATCGCCGCCGCATGGCAATAGCGGGCCATCTTGCTCGTGCAGCCGTCAAGACCTGAACAAGGACGAGTCAGGAAGAAATCCCTGTCAGAGATGCCAGCTTCGTTGCTCAGCTCCACCCAGAGCTGCCACCCACAGCGCAACCAATCTGCTTCTGAAAGCCAGGCTTTCGTGGAGATATACATGTGAAGAACTTCGATCCTTTTCCCGGCTCCGCTGGTCTTCGTGCGATCGAGCCGAGCATAAAGACCGCGCGACTCCAGACGCATGCCATTGAACGGCATACCTTCGGTGTCCGAATAACGCAGGCCACCCCATAACTTAACAAGTTTCAACCACGCAAAAGCCCTTACAAAACGCGGCGCAGTTCCCAGCACCACAAGTCGCTCCATGGCGCACACCTGCGACGTCAGGAGCTGGCGTGCTTGTTTGCGCCCCTGCGGGTTCTTGGCACTCAGTTCCAACGCCAACTCCTCCAGGCTGTTACGAACCGCTGGGAGGTTGCTGATTTTGAGATGCTCCGATAATTCTCCTGCAGATTCCATAAACATAAGGGTCTTCAAGCAAGATCCAGGGACTGTGCGACCACAAGGTTCCGCCGCCCGAGAATATAGATACGCAGCAAATTGTTCTCCTGACGGCCACGAGACGCCGAAAGTGGCCTTAACCCAGAAAGCTACCCGCCGCCAGGTACGCACATGCTTGCGCAATGTGGTGGCTCGCCGTCCTTTGGCCAAGCGTTTCAGAGCGAGGTTCCCTTCTTCACTCCCGACACCACAGACGGCCGGAAGAGCTGCTTCAGACAACAATTCGGTTAGTGCCTGCAGCCACTTTTCACGTTCCAACGCTTCACCACGTTGTCTCTGATCAGCACACACAGACGCTTGTAGATGCACGCTTTGCGCAGTCCAGCGAGCCGGTCGTCGAGCAGCAGCTTGTGTCTTGAAGGGCACCACAACTGCACTGACACCTAGACTGCTACAAGACGGCTGCGACAACAGTGGGCTGCATCTGTCTATGCGAGCACGCTTCACAGCCACCCCTGCCCAGAGCGAAGAGTGTCTTGCTGATGAACATGAGCAACATGGACGTACAATGCTCTCAGCATTTGACACCAGACACCAGAAAGCTTGGACGTCATCCTCGCAAGCATCTTTGGCCAACATCCGCCCCAATATGACCTTCGCTTCCTCGCCGTCGATGTCAGACAGCGTCGCCAATTGTGACACCGACCAACGGCTAAACGCATTCGCAATCGCCTCCGGAATCGACAATTGACCGCAGAGGTCGCGCACCTCCATGGCCAAGTCTAAAGTGCAACCTAGCAAGAACAGACCTCTACCCTTTGCAGACCCTTCGAGCTGCAAAGGCTTCGACACTGTAAACTGTGTTCAAGGCAACAACGAGACGCTTACCGTGCTTCGCTTCGCTACGCACTAACCAGCTTATCAAATATCCCCAAAATTCTTGAAAGCATCAATTGCAATTATACATGCACGATTCATTCCACTTGACAATATAGGTCTCACAATCAGCGGCGCTCTTTTCCTCTCTTGGCAAACTGGGGATGCATATCAAGTTGGGATGCATATCAAGTTGAACACTACGTGCACATTGCACAACGCGGGCACATCCCGCCGACCACATTTGGTCAAGTTCCCCCCTGGGGTTGGGTGGGTGGGAAAAATTTTCACTCTGAGCTCTGCAGGAGCCCGACTTGAACCATGTCACTCATCAGACAAGTCAGTGAAAATTCACAACAAGCAATACAATAAAAACTTGCTCATGTGCTTCCATGGAAAATAAAGCACGAATGCAACATGTCGGAAACATGCTATACACAGGGCTCCGGTTTCGGAACATTCCGTGTCAACATAATTTAGGAACATGAGATCACTGCAGTCTTTTCAAAATTTAAGGACCACATTATCACGACCGTGAAAAAGGCTTCCAAGAACGCTTTAAAATTTTAAAGCTGTTTTGGGGGCTTGATAAACCAACGGAGCGCACGCGCTCAGATATGCTTATCAAATATCCCCAAAATTCTTGAAAGCATCAATTGCAATTATACATGCACGATTCATTCCACTTGACAATATAGGTCTCACAATCAGCGGCGCTCTTTTCCTCTCTTGGCAAACTGGGGATGCATATCAAGTTGAACACTACGTGCACATTGCACAACGCGGGCACATCCCGCCGACCACATTTGGTCAAGTTCCCCGGTCTGCTTCAGCACTCATCTAGCTGGTTACAAGTTCCGCAGCTGCACCTGTGTCACGGGACATACAGGCGTGACACGCTTGGCGTTGAAGGATTCCATCAGGGACGTGTCACCCCGGCTAGGCCCATCCGACGGGTTCGACTTCGAAGGTACCCTTGCATGCCACATGAGCGTGGGGGACGTTTCATCGGGGCACTCAAGTAGCAACAGCAAATCGCGCCACTGCTTGACAGACGCGGATCCTTTGATAGCAACATCGAGCGCAGCATAGTTGTCGACGAACGTTAGCAACCTCCTTCCCTCGAAGTACGACTTCCAGGTGCGGATGCCCACCACTACGGCATAGAGCTCCACTAGGCCGATGACATGTGACTTCCCATCCGCGCGCCACATTTCCAGCACTGTCTCAGGAACAGCACATCCAAAATACTCAGCCCGCTGACTACGCCCGGGCCACAAGAGCAAGCCTCCTATGGTGGCAGGCGGGAGACCAAGCTTGGTTTGCCCCTCTTCAAGAGCGCCATCAGTGAACATGAGGAACGGAAGTTCCCCTCGGGAGGCAAGTAAAGTGCGAGGCCTACCCCGCATGAAACGTTCCTTCAGAAGGTTCAAAGCCGCTAGACCACTGGGGTCCAGGCTCACAGGTACTTTGGAAGTGTGCGCCAAAGCTCTAACATCATGCAACGCCAAACGCCCCGCTCTCCCCCAAATCTGAGCATCGGCATACTGGAGTTTGCCGACGAAAGATGGCAGGTGGGCCGGGATGACTTTCTTGTCGCGGCACGCCGCCTCAAGCACTGGCAACAACTCAGCAACCCGGCTATCCTTATTCTTAACCTGGATTACCCCTTTAGGAGCCCCAGTCAAGTCTACCTGGACGCCGAGAACTTCCGCCTTCACATCAAAGGGGAGTAGTTTTTCCTTAGCGTGATCGAACCCCAACAACTTTAGAAAACCCACCATGCAGGCCATGGTCGATGACGCGCACAGGGAGTGCGATATCACCGGGAAGTCGTCGAAGTAGTTCGACCAGCAAAGCCCCAATCGGCACCCCAAGGCGTGGATAAGGGAACTGCATCGCAAGAAGGACGGGACGCTGGCCGCTCCCCCAAAGGGGAGCGTCTTCATGATGTAGCACTCCAAAGCCATACTCCGAGGGTTCCGGAGGCACACGACGGACTTGTTGTGATCGAGCGGAGACAAGGGGAGTTGCTTATACGCTGATTTTAGGTCAAGAGACGACATGCGCAACTCGGCCCCGGCGTCAGACCAAGCGTGATGAACCTTACCTGACAGCACCTGGCCTGTGGA